TTGTCAGTAGATACGATACTAATATGCGTTTAAAGTGGCTTGCCTGTAGACAGACTGTGCTAAACAACAAGCATTTCATGTGGTCAGAGGGTGAAAAACTAACGAAATTCGCCAAAGAATGATAGTTCAGTATGGCAATAACTGTATAAGTCAGAGAAAAGTTTTCGAATGGATGGGGATATTCCAATGAGTGTGGATGATTGTTGCTGATGATTTAGCTTGCTATCTTGGCCACCGTAAGCTATAAGATATGTTGAGGGTAAGGAGCAGATCGAAGAATCAGTATTGTTGAAACTGCATGTGAAGTAAGCATGTCATGGAAAGTAGCGACGCAGGAATGGATTGAAGCCAACCAGAAACCATTTTATTCTGTCTGAACGAAGAGAATTATTATAATGACGTCCTTTCGGAAGTTCTAACACTCTCCAAAAATATTTACGTTACAGTCATATATTCTTTTTACGCAGTTTTTCGTTATAACAAATCGCATTACGACTTTTTCTCAAAATAAAAAAGTCTTCTTGTTCCTAAGTAACTGTTCTCATCCATAGCCACTACAGTTGCAACATTTACTTTGCGGTCTAAGATAAATTACAAATTACTATGAGAATAATCTGTTTCAAGCAAACGTTCGTCTAACAGTGTTTATCGACTCCATGCCTTAAGCTTGTGAGATAACACAACACGTTTCTAACTTTTGAAACGTCACGGTTCAACATTGCTGATGAATTCTGCCACGTCGACGTAAAGACATTACTGCTTAATGCAGGTGCTATGAAATTCTTCGAAGAAGTTATCATCTTCTTGTAATCTAATATCTACTATCGGCAGGTAGATGTACTCGAGATTCCCATAAAATCAAAATACTTCTTGGCTTTAGTCAGTGGGCTGGTCACTCACTACTCGCAAATGCACATTTAAAAAGACTACGAAACCTCCGAAAAAGAGGCGGCGAAAACCCACAATTGGGTTCCAAAAAACAGTAACTTCTTGGCTTTATTACGTAATTTATACACGAAATACTTTGTACCTTACAGAAATATCAGAAACACGATCGGTAATGAAATATTAAAACAGTTTTCCCCTTTATACAAACAATGAATTGTTGATAGCAGCTCCTGAAGTTACGAAAATTGTGACAACAGAAAATAATTTTCATGAAGACGAGGTAAAGAAAGCTTGTATTAAGGTCACTTACCCCAAGCAGCTTCCAGGGTACCCTCTGCATTCTCTGTTTTATTTTTACCGTACAAGATATATCCATCAATCGTCTGAAATAAACGATATATTTGAAATTAGTTATTTCACAATTATCACTACTGAAAAGCTCAAGAAAAAATCATTATCCAGTACTTACAATAATCTATAACCCTCAACCGAATCGCAGACAAAGCGCTGTGTGTCTAACAAAAACTAAGAAGATGGGTAATGTTCAAAAAACAATTTAACACAATAAATGTTTCATGCCTTCTAGAAAGTAACTGATCATCTGTGAGGGAGTTGCAGAGATTGTTTGTGACAAAACTCCGCTATAATGAAGTACGAATCGGCAGTGGAGCATCCACGCAAAGAAGTCTGCCCTCTCTGCTCTTTAATGCATATATCGATTCTACAGTACAAGGATTTGTAACTGTTATCACAGTGAGAGGTCGGGAGCTATAGGTTAAGGTCAAAGGAATATTAAATTCCTTCATATTTATTCATTACACCAGAGTTTTGGGAAAAGTAGCCCATATGTCGAACAGATCCACCTATAACCATGTTCCACACAGAAACTCTACCGAGAATACTAGACGGTAAAATATTTCACTTCATTTAAAACTAAATAAATAGTGCCAAATATATATAGTACAAGCGTTCTGTCGTCTTTTACACGCGTAAGGCACAGGAAAACGTCACACGGATTGCGTTTAGTGTATTTGTCTTAACGCGGTTTCATTTGTGAGACAAATCACGGCATACCACAGGTCCGAGTTCAACTCCACGACAGTACATGTTCGATTTGTTGGAAAAAATGTGGCACTTGGGTGATTTTTTTTCGAGGGCTTCTTGTTTTGCTTGCAATTCATCAATCCACCCCAAAACCCCACATTCATCTATCACTGCCTCCGAAGCATGGGACAGGCCTGACCAACCGGCACGTTAGGCCTAACACTTCGTTTTGTAGTTTGCACTTGACTGAAATTAGAATATCACAATTCTTGTTTTCAGTTCATACCAGGCCGTGAAATTTCACTTCAATTAAGAATAACTGTGTTTCAGTCTCTATCCAAGACAAGTCGAAATTCTATGTTAGCCAGTTTTCTTTATCGTTAGGGATTTTTGAGGAAGTACTGATTTAAAATCAAAGAATACGAACATTATTCACTTGCCGCGGATCGCTAAACTTGGGTAGCGTAAGTCCGAGGGAGAACAGAGACGTATTTCAGCAACTACGGTTCGGCTTTAAAGATGAGGGATCAATATATAGTAACATGTTCGTACGCTAAATTACTTCGGCTACATACTTAAATACAGACCTGTCAAAACATCATTACTGTGATCTAGATGCTACAGAAATAATCTCTGTATATTTACGACGATAGATATTCTAAAAATTTCATACATTAAGTTAAATGTCACAAAATTTAAAAGTTATAATATATAACACGCATATGGGAATACATCATATTTACAAGACATTAAATGTATGCGTATGTATTTGCTTCTATATATTTCTGCAAGGTTAGCAGTTGCTAACACATTCTATGAAACTCGTTTTTGGACCTAATTAGTTTAAATATTAAATCTCCTTGTGAAAGATGGTTAAAGAACAGAAAATTACGCTACATTGGCACAATTTTTCCCTTACTGAGTAATACTGATTCATTACGCTTTATTGGGTGAATATTACATACTGAAAGTAGTTAAACAACTACAGATTGTATTTCTAATGAACACTTATACTGTTACAATGATTATAGCCGTCTATGTTGGTCTTCTGGGTTGTGATACCGTGTGGACTTGTTCGTATATACCAAAGTTTCAGAATAAATAGTCTCCATTTTGAGCCCTGGTTAACAAACTGATTATACCATTATTCTGCATTCATCCTATACAATTTATATCCAGTAATTCTTCTTCAGTCTCCCCTCACATTAATGCGTCATGAAAGTCAGCGATGTGCTTCACCTCTGCTGACAAAAGCCTGAGTTTTCGCTTTGTGGCAAGTCGTAATGTTATCAGTTTCATCCATTCTAAATCAGTTTAATTGCTACCCAGACACAAACGTAATTTAGCAAAGTGATGCAATATATAACACGTCTTTACGAAAATTCTTCACAAACCTAATCTTTTTAAAGGATTACCGTCGTTTCGAAACTTCAAGTGACGCTTTTTTATTTACAGAAAAGAGCTGTGATGGGATACTGTTTCAAATTGTATCCTGCAGCCTTAAAGTAGACAGCAGAGGCCAATGGGGTGGGTAGAAGGACTCGACCTCACTTTTAACGCTAAAAATATTGCCTCTCAGGACCTTCCGTTTCCTCTAAGATCTCTTGCACTAGCGGGGAGGCGCCAGCCAAACCAGCCAGACAGTAACGTCGGAGGGTGGAGAGGACGGGAAGCGAATAAGGGTGGAGGGGTTTTCAACGCCAATTATGCATTTTGTGGATCAAAAAACTTTTTTAATTTACGTAAAAGAGTAATATTTTCAATTACTCCCGTCGTTCTTTCAGTTTCAATACGCCGGTGCATAAATTTTGACTTCAGTCTTGCAGGAGAAGCCAAAGTACGGATTAGTAACGCGAGATGGCGGTACGGGGCGGCGGGAAATATATCTCGTTCAGGAACTTTAATTTTTCCAGCTGCTCGTGGTCACAATTAACCTTCACAATATCTTCGTATTATTACTATTCGCCGAAGAGCCGAACCTTGCGCTGGTTCCAGCTGAGAACAGCAGGAAAAAATGTGTGACGCTACTCAGCTTTGCCATATTTTATTACCCACATTCGAGCTAAAGTAAAAACTGAACGCATTTATTTCTTCATCATATATCCTACAAATTCATCTCAAGCACTGAGCTACTAACATTAAGTACGAAAAGAAATAACATTCATCTTATATGCTTCATTGTGCATCTACATTACGACAGTTAAGAGGTAATAAATTGTTCTGACGTGTTTATTTACGCGAAAATAAATGTTAATAATTAAATTAAATTCTTTATTTTAGTGCGCCACATCAACAGTCAATTACAGACACAGCACAAAAAGTATACAAAGATGTATAATAATAATAATAATAATAATAATAATAACCAAATTATGAAACAAATTTATTATTCTCTCCACAAACATGAACGTCTAGTCCTAACACAATAGCCAACGTTCGTCACGCTGAACGAGTGTGCAGTTCGTGCAATGTGGAAACAGTTGAAATTATTGAATAAAAATTTTCTTTGATATTATCCATCGTCTAGTAAATATAAAACGTAAAACGATGTTTCGGAGATGGGACTCTATCTCCGTCTTCAGGTTCCTACACAGTTGGGCCCACTAGATAGAGCTAATCCCTATCTCCGGACAAAGTAAAAA